CACAAATAGATTTCATGTATCCTGGCAGAGCTGGGAGATGAAAGCAGGGAAATCAGCTCCTGCCTCCCCTGCTCAGACCTGGGAATGGTGCAGCACATCTTGCCAGGGGCTCATTTCCCTGGATCAACCAAGCAGGAGAGGTTTGGGGTCTGATCCCAGCTCAGATCCCCATCCCTGGGGGACCAGGCTCTCCCCAGAGCTGCTCCCATCTGCCTTGTTCCAGGCATTAAGGTGAGTGGCAGAACGTGCCCAGCCTTCAACCATTCCTATCACGTCCCATCTGGAGACAGAAATCTGCCTGCTGGCTTCACAATTAAAATTGAAATGATTTGATTATGGGGCTTCATTAGTAAAAACAAACACCAGGCAGCCTCCCTCCCTCCCTCTCCCCCCGCATCCCCGCCCAGCCGTTCCTCCCTGGGGCTGTTTTAGGTAAATCCCAGCCGGGATGCGGTCGGGATCACAAAAGGCTTCGTGTCTGCAGCTCGGAGCTCCTGTCGGGAGCAGCCTGAAAGAGGCAGATTTCGGACCCACAGTTCTCCTTCGGGCAGGGATGAAGGAGCAGCCCCGATGGCTCGATGGGCTGCACGGAGTGCCCAATAGAGCGGGGAAGGGAGCAGGGAGGGGTGCAAGATGCCTTCTACCCCTCTGGATGCTTTCCATCCCCTCTGAGTGGTCCCCAGATTCTCTGGGTCCTTTCCATCCCCTCTGGATGCTTTCTATCCCCTCTAGGTCCTTTCCAGCCCCTCTGGATGTTTCCCAGCCCCTCTGGGTGCTTGCAGACCTCACCAAGGGGTTCTCAGAGCTTTTTGGGCTCCTGCCTGGACTCCATCCCCTTCATTCCATGAGTCTCTGCACCTCCACACCAACCTGGCCTTGTCCTGCTCGCTCCCTTTTCCTTCTCTGCAGCTGCAGCATCCCATGGGAAGGGCCGAGCAGGCTCGGAGCAGGCACGGAGTAGGCTCAGAGCAGGCTGCCCGTGGTGTGTGCAGATGCTCCAGTCCCTGAAGCATTGGCAGTTCTGGGGAAGCAATTCAATTATCCCTCGGGGCGCTGGGAACAGGCTGTGCAGGCTGGAGAGGAGGAATGCCAATGGAGGGGGGCTCGGCAATGCTGCCGGGGTCGGGTGCTCTCCCTGGGACTGGATTTCTCCAGCAGTGGCAGGACAAGGGGAATGGTTTCCAACGGACAGAGAGTAGGGTTGGGTCACATATTAGGAAAAAATGGAAGTGTCACCGAGGCAGTGGCACAACAGCATTGCTGTCCTACCCTGGCTTGCCTTGCGGGCTAAATCTTTAACCAGATCAAGGGTTTAACTTTATCAGTAGCTGGAAAAACGTGGCACCACTTCCCTGGGGCAAAGTATCTTGATCTCTGCAGAAATGCCTTTTCCTGGGCCTCACTCAGCAGCTCCTTTGGCATGGGGAGCCGTGGGACCCTCTGGAGCAGGGGGCACCAGAGCCCCATGCCACACCTGGGCTCCCAGCTGCTTTTCCCTCCAAAATCACAATTTTGAAGAGCTGGCACTTCCCCTGGCAGGGTGTGTACCCGGTCACGGATTGCCCTCCTGGTGGGCAGTGCAGGAGGGATGCCACCCCCGGAGCAGAGGCTTCTGTGCCCCCTCAGGGGAGCCCCCCAAAATCCCCCTGCCAGCCCTGGAAAACCTTGCACATCCCCTGCCCAGAGCAGCATGATGGATTATTGTTATTAGAGGTGGAGAACAGTTTCTGTGCACAGCCGGGTGGCTCAGGAGCAATTCGTCACCCACCGGCGACGGGGGCCGGGCTGTCCCTCTGTCCCTCTGTCCCTCTGTCCCTCTGTCCCTGCCCCGGTGGGAGCTCTCTGCAGCCTCGGCAGGCTCGGGGCGCGGCCGGATGGAGCCCAATCTGATGGGCACGGGCAGGGCTTTGGCAGCGGCTCAGCCGCAGGGCAGGGCTCCGACCTGAGCTGATCCCTGTGCCCGGGGCATCCTGTGGGACAAGGAGGTGGGACGGCAACCCCCAGCTCCACAGCAGCCCCCAGCCCCATGGCAGAGATCTATCCCCAGCCCCATGGCAGAGATCCATCCCCAGCCCCACGGCAGGGGTGATCCCCATCCCGGTGCCCCCATCCCCTGTCCCCATCCCGGTGATGCCCCCACCCAGCAGAGGGGCAGAGAGGCAGCGAGGGGACGCTGGGAGCACCCACAGCCCTGGCACAGGGATGCGGGGCAGTGCCAGCCCCAGCAGTGCCAGCCCAGCCCGGGCTCAGCTGGCAGCACCAGCACAGCAGGACAGGCACAGCCGGTGCAGGCGGCGAGGGGGGGCTGTAATGACGGTCCAGCTCAGCAAAGGTAGCAGAGCATGAAAGCAATTTCACACTTTATTAGACAATTCAGGTGCCAGCTGCACCAGCCTGGAGCGAGCGCTGCTGTTCACGGCTCCTCTCCTGCTCTGCAGCCCCGGGCTCCCTCTCCATGGGGCTCAGCCCCTCCTCGGGCCACGCTGGTCCCAGCTGGCACACGAGGGGCCCGTGAGGGTGGTCAGGGGTTTGAGCTGCCCCTCGTGGGCACCACAGGGTGGGCAGGTGGCAGAACATTGCAGCACAGGCTGGCTCAGCCTGGCAGCGTGGGCAACCCGAGCTCTGTGCCCAAAGCCACTGGGGCTGGCTGTGCCCTTCAGCCCAGGGCAGCCACCCTGCTCCTCCTGGCTCCCTCCGCCCTCTCCTTTCTGCACCCCGTGCTGAGGGGACGGCTCTGGGATTGGGGTTTGTGGCAGCTTTTCCTCACACCTCCCTGCCCCGGGGTGCCCCAGCAGAGCCGATGGGCACACGGACACCTGGGCACTCAGCCGTGCTCCTGGCACGCCGGGATGCACCTGGGGTGTGCTGTGTGTCCCTGCCGCGTCCCCGGGGAGCAGCGGGCACACGGAGCTGCTCCCGGCACGTGGCCGGGCTGGCACCCGCGCCCCGGGGACGCTGTCACACCCGCGGGTGGACAATATCCAAACGCCTGCACGTCCAGGATATGAATCAGCGCGGACAGGAGCGCGGCAGCCGCGCTGGGACACCCGGAGCTGCCCCGGAGGCGGCTCGGGCAGCCAGGCAGCGCCGCTGCCAAATTCCGGGCGGGCTGAGGGCGGGTCAGGGGCGGCAGCGGCTCCGCTGGCACCTCCGATCAGCCCGGGCACGGCAAAGCCCCGGCCTGGCAAAGCCCCGGCCTGGCACGCATTCCCCTGTTTGCACGGCTCCGTTCCCCGGTGCCAAGCATGGCACGGTGGCACCGGGCCAGGGCCGTGCCTAACCTTGACCTGGCTGCTGGCGAGCAGTCCCAGCTGTCCCCCCGTGCCCCGGGCACAGGCATGTTCCAGCGGGCCAGCCAGAGCATTCCTCCCGGGAGAGCCTGTCCTTGAGAGGCTATTTAAAGGCACACTTGTGCCCTTTATCCCCCTCATGGCTGGGCTGCAAGAGCCCCGTGCCCTCCCGTGACTCCAGGAGGGCATTTCCAGGCTCAGGGCAGCAGCAGTGCCGTGAGTTTGGGTGAATTCAGGGAGAAGGGAGGGATGCAGGCACCCACGTCCTGCAGGGACCCATCTCCAAGCCCTATCCTGGGGACAGAGCCCTGGGAAAGGTGCCCCAGCCATCGAGGCTGGCAGCAGGGCTGGGGGGACTGCAGAGCCCAGCTCACCCCTTGGCACCCACGTGAACTCAGTGCCCTCTTCCTGCTGGATGTGCAGCCCAGCCCTGCCCAGCCCAGATCAGGGCCCAGGCAGCAGCAGGCTCAGCACTCCGTGTGCCACCGTCACCTTTCGGCCCCCAAAGGGTCTCAGGCACCCAGGGCTGTGGAGCAGGACCTGCCCACTGCTGCCATGGCTGGCACAGGGCTGATTGCTGGTGCTTGGCTGGGGAGGGAAACCCGACCTGGTGGGGTTTGGTTAGGGATGGAAAAACCCAGAGGAGGCACCTGCAGGGAGCTGGAGGGGTGAGCCTGTGCCTGCAGGGCCTGGGCTGGGTGGGCAAGCACAGACACAGCCCCTGCTCACTGACCCTCATCCCCAGCCTGCTCATTTTCCCTTGCTGAGGAGCCCACCAGCCTTTCCCCAGGCCGGGAGCATCCCCAGGACACGTCCCCAGCGCTGGCACTGCTGTCCCCTCCCAGGTTTGGTGTAGCTGAGCATTTCCTCAGGCCTTTCATTGGCACCTGGGCAGAGCTGGCTGCCCCCAGCCACCCCCCAGGTCCGGGTGAAAGGAGGCTGAGCCCCGCTCTGCCTCACACCGGACCCCAGCCCCGCACAGTGCACTGCCTGGGGCTGTCCCCACCCGCCTGGCACCTGCCCAGGGTTGGGTGAGGCCGTGCCAGCCTGCCCCCTGCCCAGCCCGCGGGCACGGCCGCACTGGGAGCCCGCGGGGAGCCCGTGGGTGGCCGGGCGTGCTGCTGCCCCGGGCACGGCAGGGCAGGGCAGGGCACGGCACGGGCACCTTTGATGTGGGCGGCCCAGGCGACGCCAGCCGGGTGCTCCACTGGCCTGGGTGAGGGATGGGCAGCGTGCGGTGCCAGTCCCGGGGCGCTCCTGAAGCCTCCTCTGGCACCACGGCAGGGCTGCCCACCTCGGCCCCATCAGCATCCCCTAACAGTGCAACCAGGGGGAAACTGAGGCACGGACACCTCGGGAATGGTGGGAGGGGTCTCTCCGTTCTCAAACCGAGCCTTGGGTCAGGACCGACACGGATCGATTCTCCCAAGAACCGCTTCCATGGGACCTGTGCCAGCCCGCCGGGGATGTGTGCTGCTCGGGGGTCCCGGGGGTCCCGATCTCGGTCCCCCCGAGCGGGGCGGGCCCGGGCGGTGCCCCCGCCCCAGCGCCCCCCGTGCGGGCCCACAGGGCACCGGGAGCGGGTGCGGGGCGCCCTCTGGCGGCCACAGCCCCGCCCTGCCACGGGGCTCGGGGTGCCCAGGGAGAGAATCCTCCGGTACTGAGGTGCCCAGATAGCCAAATCCTCAGGTGCCCAGCGAGCAAAATCCTCAGGCGGTCAGGGAGCAAAATTCCCAGGTGCCCAGTTTCTCAGGCACTCAGGTGCCCAGGTAGCCAAATTCTCAGGTGCCCAGGTGCCCAGTTTCTTAGATACTCAGGTGACCAGATAGCCAAATTCTCAGGTGCCCAGTTTCTCAGGTACCCAAGCAGCCAAATTCTCAGGCACTCAGGTGCCCCAGTGCCCAGGTGCTCAGTGCCCAGGTGCCCCAGTGCCCCTGCCTGGCTGAGGACCCCTCTGCAGTGCTGCTCCTCTGCTGCTCAATCCTGCCCTAAGCAGGGACGACACCACCTCATCTCCGCAGGACACATTTGTCACTCACTGGGATTGCAGCAAATCCCCGGATAACTGCAGCCACCTGCCCTCACTCCCCGGCGCTGCTTTGCTTTGTGCCAACACGCACAGAGCACCTGGCACCCTCACACCTGCTGTCAAAAGGCGCCTCCCAAGTGCCAACCTCGTGCCCCTGTCCCTCGGGTGCCTCCCACCACCTTCCCAGCCGGGGGCTGCCTCCCTCCAGCATCTCCTGCGAGGTTTCCTCAGTGCCAGGCTGGCTCCCTCCATCCTTGCCCAGCTGGGGCTGGCACGCTCACACGGGCAGGCTCCAGCCCGCCGGCTCCTGCACGGGCACGGTCACCAGGTAGCTGGAGGGCACGTAGCCCCTCTGGCCGTTCGCCTCCACCAGGCTCCACTCCGCGCTGCCCTTCTTGTCGTGGGGCTCCAGCAGCAGCACGGGCTGCCCCGCCTGCAGGCTCAGCTCCTGCGGGCTCCGTGCTGCGAAGGAGAAGCCGGCAACCACCTGGGGAGGCAGGGAAAGAAAAGAGGGAGGGAGGGATGGAGGGAGCCCTGGCCACCACCTGGGGGAGGCAGGGAACGAAAGAGGGAGGGAGGGAGCCCTGGCTGGAGCTGGGAGTCAATGTGGCAAGGATGTGGCAGCTCCCAGACGGCAGCACAGCAGCGCCATGGATGGAGGGGCTGACCCACCAAGGATGGCTCTCTTGCCCTGTGCGCCCTGGTGCCAGCAAGGGGGACACCTGGAAAAGCAGCTCCACCTTCCCAGCCACACCAGGACGAGCAGGGAGCTCGTGGGGTTGCTGGAAATGGGATGTTCCCCACTCTCACCTGGAATGTTGGGGTGAAGGTGGCCACCTGAGGCCTGGGAGCTTCAGGGGATGCACAGGAATGTCTCCTTCTCTCTGAGTCACCGTCCAGGCCCAGCAGCTGCATCACAGGCGGCTGCTGCACCTGCACTGGGCTGTAGGGCCGGAGCTTTGCAGCAGGGACAAACCCTCGGGGACCTGCAGGACACACACACAGCCAGGTGTGGAGACACAGCACTGACACTGCAGGACACACACACAGCCAGGTGTGGAGACACAGCACTGACACTGCAGGACACACACACACACAGCCAGGTGTGGAGACAGCACTGACACTGCAGGACACACACACACACACAGCCAGGTGTGGAGACAGCACTGACACTGCAGGACACACACACACACACAGCCAGGTGTGGAGACAGCACTGACACTGCAGGACACACACACACAGCCAGGTGTGGAGACACAGCATTGACACTGCAGGACACACACACACACAGCCAGGTGTGGAGACACAGCACTGACACTGCAGGACACACACACACACACAGCCAGGTGTGGAGACAGCACTGACACTGCAGGACACACACACACACACAGCCAGGTGTGGAGACAGCACTGACACTGCAGGACACACACACAGCCAGGTGTGGAGACAGCACTGACACTGCAGGACACACACACACACAGCCAGGTGTGGAGACAGCACTGACACTGCAGGACACACACACAGCCAGGTGTGGAGACACAGCACTGACACTGCAGGACACACACACACACAGCCAGGTGTGGAGACAGCACTGACACTGCAGGACACACACACACACACAGCCAGGTGTGGAGACAGCACTGACACTGCAGGACACACACACAGCCAGGTGTGGAGACACAGCACTGACACTGCAGGACACACACACACACACAGCCAGGTGTGGAGACAGCACTGACACTGCAGGACACACACACAGCCAGGTCACGGGGCCCTGCTGCCTGGCACACACAGGAGACAGGAGTCACAACTGGGCTGTGGCCTGGCATGGCACAGCAGCCCTGTCCATCACATCCAGGAGAAATCCCCACTAAAAGGGAATTCCATGTGTTTCTGTGTGCGTGGATCACCTTCCCCAGCCATGACACTCCCCCTGGGGAATCACCTGAGCCTTACAGCTGATGGCAGAGCTCAGGAGGCCCTGGGCTGAGCACAGCCTGGAAAGGAGCACAGGAGAGCACGGCCTGCTCCTTCATCCAGGATAGGAAATGATTGAGGTGCACCTGGCCCTGGTGCCAGGGTGAGGAGAGGCTGCCCACAGTGCCCACAGTGCCCACATACCTCCAGCATCCACCAGCCACCTGCTGGTGTTGCCCTTGGTGTCGGAGCTTTGCAGCAGGGCCACGATCTGTCCCCTGAGCAAGGTCAGGTCCAGCTCTCTGCTGCCACTGGTGTTGCTGGTCACTTGGTAGAGCTTGTCTGGGCCGTGCTTGCTCACAAGGGAAAGGACCTTCCTCTCCTCAGCTGGGGTCAGAGCCTGGTGGGGAGAGGAGACACAGGAGCACTCCATGAGACCCCCACTCCTGCTCTCCTTCTGCAGGATCACACCCCAGGCTAACAGCAGAACCTCCTTCGCACCCGCAGGTTTGGAGATGGGAGCCCAGAGCCAGCAGAGCTGAGCTCCTGCATCCCTGCTTGTCCCCAGCTCTCAGGGGCTTGGGGGAATCCTGTGGCACCCCTGGGCCCATCCTGGGCCAGCCTCCCCACCAAGGGCATTTCCTGCCCTGGGGAGCCACAGCCCAATGTCTGAGCAGGCCTGAGCCCCGCCCTGCCCTGCCCCTACCTGTGTGCCAGGGCTGGGTGCCACGGTCTCAAAGGCCTGGCAGAAGGCACGGAGCTGGGCACCCGACTGCTGCAGGCTGTCCTCCACCACCTTCCAGAAGCTGGGCAGGGCCATGTGCCCATGGGGCAGCTGTGGAGACAGGCTGGGGTCAGGGAGAGGCAGAGGGAGGCAGGAGGAGGAAAAGGGCTGAGGAAGCAAGAGAGCAGACCTGGCCACTAAATTCACCTTGCACAGGGGATCAATGTGCTCCTCTCTGGCTCTGAGCTGCACCTTGTTCTGCTCCTGCTCCTGGCTCAGGCCAGGGCTGTGCTCTACCCCAGGGCTTCTGACAGCCCTCCCTCCCTCCCCGTATTTACAAACATCAGAGAGTTTTGAGCAATGAGGAGTTCTGGGAGACATCTCCCAGGGCATGGGGCTGGGGGAGGCTGTTCCCAGCCCAGCAGCTGCCTTTCCCCTCCCTGCCTTGCTGGCACAGGGCTCTCAGGAGCCCTGAGCTCACACTGATCTCAGACAGCAGCACATCCATAAATTACCAGCAGTGTCAACAAACAGAAAGCAGGACAGTGTCTGACAGTGCAGAAGAGAAAATTTGGCTTTTCCTGGGCAGGAAGGAAGGGAGATCCTTACAAATGCTCCACAGGGAGCTGTGTGTCTGCAAGGGCAGGCGGGCCACAGCAAACCTTCGGTGCCCTGATGTCTGAGAGATCCCCCAAAGCTGGAGAAGGCAGTTCCAGCTCAGCCCCTGTGCCTGAGGGGTCGCACTTACCTGCTCCAGCTCCTTTTCTGCGTGGTGCAGGACCTGGGCAGCCAAGTCCAGCTGCAGGGCGCTGAAGGAGCGCAGGATCTGCCCCAGGAGCTGCACAGCCGCCTGGTTGAACTGGGGCAGCTCGGCCACCAGCAGGTCATTGATGGCCAGGTAGGTGTTCATGGCTGCCTCCTCATCGTAGCTCACGCTGCCCATCTCGCTCTTCCTCTCCTGGATCTCCTCGTAGTCCAGCAGCTTGTCCAGGCGCTTCTTGACCAGCTGCTGGGGCCCCTCCAGCATGTCTGAGAGGCTGCAGAGGGGCTGCCACACCAGCCTGCCCACACGCTGCTTCTGCCAGGGCACAACCCCAAATTCCAGGTGAGCCCCCAGGCAGGAGCCGCTGCCAGCACAGGGGCAGGGTCTGTGGGGAGTGGGGAGCACCTGGGACATTGCCAGCACAGGGGCAGGGGCCTGGGGGTCTGTGGGGAGTGGGGAGCACCTGGGACATTGCCAGCACAGGGGCAGGGGCCTGGGGGTCTGTGGGGAGTGGGGAGCACCTGGGACATCTTTCCCTGAGGGCTCACAGGATGCCAACCAACACAAACCCTTGGCAGGGAGCCTGACACAATTCCAAACTTGTGCTCCATGGAAACAGCTGGCCAGGACCCTGCAATGGCTCAGAGCAGTCCCAGCTGAGCCTCTGCCCACACCCCTGCCCAGAGCCCATTTAAGGCCCCTCTGCCCATGCCTTGGGGCGTTGTGGTCTCCTCCCCATCTCCCTGGAGGCACATCGGGCTCACGCTGCAGCCCGTCCCAGCCCTGGCTGTGCTCTGGCTGTGTCCCTGTCCCCGGAGCTGTTCCCTCCCTCCCTCCCTGTGCCCGGACTGCAGATGGATCCTGTTACTCCCTGCTGGCCCTGCCTGCCCAGCTGGGCTCTGGGGGACTCTGAGGGCGCCCTCAGCCCTGGCAGGGGTGGGAGGGCTGCAGGAGGTGTGCAGGGCAGGAGCACTCACAAACTCGGGGAACACGGCGCTCTGCAGGAGCTGGGAGAGCCGGCGGTGCTGCTGGGCAGGTCCCTGCTCCATCTGCAGCTCACACAGGTGCGGGCTGGGCAGCAGGAACGCCTGCAAGGGAGGCAGCAGCACACTCCTTGAGCTCCTTCCCGATAATCCTGCGTGGGCAGCTCTTGCCAATCTTTCCTGCAAGGTCTTTCCAGCCCAGGAATTGCTGCTGAACCCTGGGCCGCTCCCCGAGGCTTTCCTGATAATGCCGTGTCTGGGGATTGCACGTTTTGCCAGCACTCAGAGTTTCATTTTCCTCAGATGCCCCGAGGGATTTCCATGAGAAAATCATAGCAGCTGCTGACCCAGGTGATTTCAGAAGGGCAATTTGTTGTCAGGACTGATCTGGGGACATTTCTGCCTTATACACATTATTAAAGTGAGAATTCCCAGGCTGAACAACACCCGGCCTTTTCAATCATTTAAGACCTTGAAATAATGATAAGTTTAAGGACGGATTATTCTCAACTGACACCAGCTCAGACAGTGTTGTCAAAGCCTCAGCTTTGGTTTAAACTCCCCTGGACCTGAGCAATCCTTGGGTATTGTGCAACTCCCTGACACAACAGCTCAGCTGCAAATCCCTGAACATCCCCAACAGCTCCTGATTTCCACAGAGCTTGGAAATATTCCCCAATCCCAAGGAACAGCTCCTGAGGGATGGGGCCAGTGGTCAGGGCGTTACCTCTAGGTGGCCCAGGTAGGATGCCATGTTCTCCTTCAGCGTGGCCACACTGGATGCCACACACTGGAACTTCTCTTCCAGGTCGTCATATTCCTTGTCCTCAGTCTGTCAGGAGAGAGGCAGCTTGTCACCAGCATGGGCAGGGCTGATGCCCATCACTGAGGGCTGAAACAGCAGCCTGGAGCTCACAGGGCAGGGCAGATCTGAGGGGCTCCATGAATCTGAGAAGGGTCAAAACATCGGTGCAGGCAGCAACAAAGCTCTTGGTGTGGTTGTGATGCTGGGGAACACTGGGGTGTCTTTCCTTTTCTGGGGGGCCCAAGGGTCCTGCAGGTCCTTTGGGGGCCAAAGTGCTGCCCTGCAATGCTTTGGGGTGGGGAGTGAGGTGTGTCCCTGCATCCCTGCTTCCCTGCTATCCCACTGCTCCTTGGGCTGATGGAGAACCAGGAGGCAGCAGCAGCCACCCCACCCCACCCCATACCGGCCTTGTCCTCCCCATTCTGCCATTGAGGCACTTGAGGAGCAGCAAAATGCCCCAGAAACGGCCCAGGGAGGGGCAGCAGGTGCCCGGGGGGTGCAGTGAGGGCTGCCCACCTTGGCCACGATGCCAGCCTCGTGCATGAGCAGCCGGCTGAGGCGCGTGGTTTTCTTGGCGATGGAGTGCGTGTTGAGCCGCGCCAGGCGCGCCCGCAGCGTCAGGTGCTCGGCCTTGGTGTATTTGGTTGCTGCCCCGGGTGGGAGGACACAGAATAAGGGGGGAAAAAAAAGATCAGAAGAGGAGACTTCATGGCTGAGCAGGCAAGGAAGGTGAGCAGCACAGGGGCTGATCGGCAGGATAAGCACGAGCCACATCAAAGAAGGGAAGGACTAGGAAAACCAAAGAGAAAGGTGAGCTCCCATCTCTGGGGAGCCTGATTTCTCCTATCCCAAGGGCAGAACTGTTATTCCCCGTTCCCCAGCCCCAGGAATGTGGACAGACTGGTTTAGTCCTCAGCCCCCCCATGCCACCCTGCTCCTGCAGCCTTTGGGTCTTGCCCAGAGTGGCACTGACAGGACCAGAGCAGCTCCAGGAGCTGCCTGCACAGTCTGCAGCAGGATTAAGTGGAGGGCAGGAGAGCTTTGAACTGATTTAGGTGGGAATTAGTGCCCAGGAGACCACTGGAGTCGTGCTGGGTGCTGTGCCCCCTCCTGCACCAAGGCCACTCACCCACTTCGCGGCGCCGCTTGTACTCGTTGATGTTGGCATTGACCTGGGCCATGGCACGAGCCGCTGCCTCCAGGGCTGAGTGGGCACTGGCACTGCTCGGGGTGTTCTCCAGGATCTTCCCCAGCAGCAGAGGGTACTTGGTGACCCTCTGCACGGGCATCACCAGGAAGAAGCTGAGGTCTGAGGCGCCCGTGTGAGGCCTGGCGGGGAGGGGAATTGCTCAGGGCTGGTGGGCAGGGCTGCCCTCTTGCCCTGCTGCTCTCCACGGCTTCTCTGGGAGTGTTTGAGGGACAGAGCAGCCCAGATGTTGTGGGGCATTTCTGGCTGCTCCCTCCAGCTGCAGGGGACTGTGCCTGCCAGCCCTGAGGGCAGTGCCAGCCCTGGGTGGGTATCCTGCCTCCCTGGGCAGCTCTGTGCTCATCCAGCCCCGGGCACGGCATCAGTGGGCAGCAGGGAGGGAAGGTGTTGGCAGTGTCTCCTTCCCACCCACAGGAAGGCACCATCTCTCTGTTGGGAATCACATTGTCTGTGCCCTAAGCAGCATCCCAGGAGCTGCTCCCCTGCCACTGCTGCTCCTCCTGCCTCTGACAGTGTTTGTGACCCCTCTGATAGTTCAGGTCCCCCCCCTGACACAGAGCCTGTGTCTCTCTGGTCCATGTGGGGAGGATGTGCCCTCCCTGGGGAAGGCAGCAGCTGTGGATGGCACCCATCCCTTATTTTGGGATCCATCATAAAAGATTCTGACCCAAGGGTCCAGGACAGGCTGCCAGGAGCTGCCACAAAGGTGGTGGCCGTGATATGACAGCCAGCCTGGTGACACAGATCCACGCAGGCAGCTTGTCCAGAGAGGAGAAGGGCAAAGGCAGGACGTGAAACAGGCACAGGGAGGTGGCGGCTCGGCAGAGGGACCTACACGGTGGCATTGAGGGTGTCCAGGATCTCCTCCTGCAGCCGGGGGTCCCTGCGGTAGCTCTCCACCAGCTGCAGGGCATGGTCGTAGCTGGCACAGTAGATCTTGTAGACAGCCTCCATCTCTTCCTTGAACTCCTGGAACAGCGTGCCTGGGGAGGGAGAGGGGGGCTGGACAGGAGGGTCCCTTCCCATGACAAGGCAGGGCTTTATCCCCAGTCTGGGGGAAGGACAAAGCCAGTGCAGCAATGCCAAGCGTGCCAGGGCAGGGCCCTGCCCCCGAGCACCCTGCTAGGCTGGGCCTGGTGCTGTGCCCATCACTCTGCAGGCTGGGCAGCTCAGCCTTGGCTGGACACGGTGGCACCAGAGCTTCCCAGAACCAAGGCAGGAGCAGGAGGTGCCAGGGCAGGGGCTGGGCTGGCACACCCTCACAGGAGGGCACGGGGCAGCCATGGCACTGCACCACTTACTGATGCCGAGCAGCTGCTCCTGCCCCTGGCCAGGCGTGTCCTCCAGCCCCTTCAGAAAGCGCTGGGACACATGGAGAATGTCGTCGGTGTTGGAGAAGAGTCCTTCCAGGTCCAGCTCGGGCAGCTGAAGGGAACAAAGATGCCCCAGGCTAAGCCAGATACATCAGAGATGGACCAGGTGCTTCAGAGGCACTGCTGGTGACCTTCCACCTGCCCCATGGGACACCCCAGGGAGTGATGCTGTGTTTCAGGAGGCTTTGGGGATGCTGAGGCCTGTCTGGGCTCCCAGGGTGGCTGTACTGGGTCAGACCCAGTGTCCATCCAACCCCAGAGCCTGGCTGGTGAGGGGAGCACAGGGAGGTGGGAGGAGCACCTGCAGTGATTTGGGCATCTCTCAGCTGTGCACAGAGTCCCCCTGCAGTCCCCTGGCAGGGGTGTCCCGTGTCACCTGCTTGTCCTGGAGGTGAGCCCGGATGTCACGCACGCACAGCTGCATGTTGTGCACGTAGCTGGCCTCGGTGCTGAGGAGCTCCTCCACGGCCAGGCGCTGGCTCAGCTCCATCCTGTCACCGGGCATCTCCTCGTACACGGCCTCCTCGGCCTCAGCTGCATCCTCGGGGCCGGGCTCTGCACTCGCCATCTCTGCGGGGACCTGCAGGGGTGGCAAAGGCAGCCCTGGCACCGGTGCTGTGAGCCCAACCCAGCTCGGTGCCCGCGCTCCCTCCCCTGGACCTCTCAGCACGTCCCCAGGGACACTCGGCCCCTCTGCACACTCCAAACCCACAAAACCATCCAGTGCTGCGAGGCAGGAGCAGGCTGGCTGCAGACACCCACGTGTGGCAGGCAGGGACGTGCCACACACACATGCCCACGCTCTGGTGACCTCGTGTGGGGCAAGGGGGCCCCCGGGTGCCAGCAGGGGCCTGGCAGCTGCCACCCAGCACTGGGACTGGGCAGGGACCCGTCCCCATGGCAGAGCAGGGTTTGCCACCTCCGTCGCAGCTCCGTGCTGCCAGGGCCAATTGTTCCCTCCCTGCCTTGGCTGGCGGCGCCTGGCACCTTGCCTGGCATTCAAGGGTCCTGTTCAAAGTACAAAGAGTGGTTCTGCAGTGCTGGAACAAGAGATGTTTCTGTGACAGCAAGAGCTGCTTTAAAAGCCACTGGGATGGGGGAGAAGTGGGCAGAGCTGCTGCTGCCTCTGCCAGCTGCACTGGCAGCCCCTGGTACGCAATGCCAGGGCCCTGCGTGGCACAGCACACTCTTCTCTCCTCTCTGCCGTGGAAAGTCTGAGCTGATTGCTGACATTTTCTTCTCAGGAAACACACTCTGCTCTAACTGATACCAGGGAGCATGAGCAGCTCCCAGAGCATCACAAACAGTGCTTGGCTGCTGGCAGGAAGGCCTTGAGAGACAGAGAGGTGTGGCACAGGCACAGCTGGCTGTGACAGCCCTGGCCGGGCAGGATTCCTGCCAGGCTCCTGCGGAGGAGGAGAGCAGCAAGGGCAAGGCAGAGGTGGCAGATAAAAGCCAGATGGCACAAGCAGCAGCACAGACTTTGCCCTGCCCTGCCTGCCCAGCCAGTGCCAGCCTCCACAGCCAGACTGTGCCGTGCCAGGTGCCCCCTTTGGAGGCTGCAGCCCCTCTCCCTGTCCCCACCGGGTCCAGCTGACAAAAGCTGATGCAGTGCAAGCTGCGGGCAGGGCCACTGTCCCCTCCTGGCACACGCCCACTGCTGGGCTTGGCACAGCAGGCAAAGTGGCATTGGACCTGCGCTTGCCCGACAGGAGTGTGTCACCCTGCCAGCTGTCACCCTGTCCTCTGGGACTTGGCTGCCTGTCCTGCCTGTGGCTGCCATGGGACATGGGGAGGAGGAGACTTTCCTGCACCCCTCTGGGTGCTCCCGAGGTGTCCGGGCAGAGGGATTCCCATCAAGGACCAGTGTCCTCTGCCTGGGTGGCAGCAAAGCCCCAGTTCAGTGGAGGCAGGTGGAAAGGACCCATCTGAGACACCCCCGAGCCCTGGAGGGGCGCCCTGCAGTTCAGGGCATGCCAGTATTGGGGTGTCCCTGGTCCCTGCAGCAGCATCCCCAGGCTGCTGAAACCTCCTTGCCTCCCCTCACCCCCCTGGCCTGACACCGCAGAGGGACAAGGGGACAGTGCAAAAGGAAGCCACAGCATTTCTGGGCAGCGTTGGAGCAGGCAGACAGCGCAGGAGCAGGTTTCCTTTTCCCAGCCCCCCTCCCAGGCAGCTTCCCGCATTTGAGCTGTCACTGCTGCCTCGGCTGCTGCCAGCACCCCTGTCCCTACGGGGGCTGCGGGCATCCCTATCCCTATGGGGGGCTGCCATCACCCCTGTCCTTACAGAGGCTGCCAGCATCCCTGTCCATGACGGAGGGGCTCCAGGCATCCCTGTCCCTGTTGGGGCTCCAGGCATCCCTGTCCCCGGTGGGGCTCCGGGCATCCCTGGCCGTGACGCGGAGACCGGCCCGGCCCTCCCGCGCACCGGGGTCGCCGGCTCTCACCTGCAGCTCCCACCGCGCCCCAGGAGCGTCACCCCCGCTCCCCAGCCAGCCCAGCCTCGCCTCTGCCCCCCGAAATCCCGGTCCCGGCTCTCACCTGCGGAGCGGGCGGGGTTGCGCAGGTTGCCGTGCCCGGCCGCGCTGCCGCTCTGCGGGCGGGGACGGCGCAGCCGCTGCTGCGGGCACGGGGGATCCCGAGCGGGGCTGGTCCCGAGCGGGGGATAACCCCGAGCGGGGGCTGATCCCGCCCCGGGGCCCGGCCCCGCCGCTCGGGGCCGCCGCAGCCGCCGCCGCTCGGTGTCGGTCGGGCAGAGCGGGGCGGGCCCTGCGCAAGCCCGCCGGGCGGGGGGGGCTGGCGGCCGGCCCGGCTGGCACCGGCTGGCCCGAGCACCGCCCCCGCAGCAGCGGCACCGGCACGGGCTCCTGTCCGTGAGAACAGCCCAGCCCCGGTCCGGATCGGCCCCGGCTGGCACCGGCTGGCCCGAGCACCGCCCCCGCAGCACCGGCACCGGCACGGGCTCCTGTCCGTGAGAACAGCCCAGCCCCGGTCCGGATCGGCCCCGGCTGGCACCGGCTGGCCCGAGCACCGCCCCCGCAGCAGCGGCACGGGCACCGGGATGGGCTCATACCCGCGAGAACAGCCGAGCCCCGGTCCGGATCGGACCCCGGGACCGCCTGCGCTGTGCCCCCCGTCCGTCCATGCAGCCCCCGGTGCGCTGTGCCGGCAGGGCAGGGGGCACACGGGAGACAGGGGAAACACCGGGATACGGGAGACACACCGGGATACAGGGGACACACCCCTCGCCCCTGCCACCAATAACAGGGCCAGGTCCCCCAGGTCTCCCTGGCATTGTGGCTCCGAGGTACAGCCCCAGTGATGCCCTGCTGTTCCCACAGCCCAGCCCAAACGCGCAGGGTTCCTGCTGTGTTATCCCAAGGTCAGGCATGTCCCGGCACTGCTCTGCTGTCCCTACCTCTGCTGAGCCTCGGGAACGGGGACAGAGAAAACAGAAATGAAAATAGAACCCAGGAAGCTCGGACATGGGGAACCAGTGCCTGCTTGACACGAAGTTGGTTTTTATTCTCGGTGAGGTGTTTGCATCCTTATAAACAAGTTATTGAGAAGAGAGAGGCTGTTCACTTGTCCCGACCACAGGGAGGGGATGGCAGCACCGGGGTTTTTCCAGGCTAACCCACGGTGTGCAGAAGGTCAGAAGGTGTCACTGTGAAAAGGACTCTGAGTTTTCAGTGACTCATGCAGGACAAGGCAGCATCTGTGACCAGATCCAAAACTCCCCATGGGCCAGGACAAGCTCTCTGGCACTTCCAGCCCTTCCCTCTGGGTCCCTTTGTGGGACCCTTTCTGATGTGGGCTGGGCAGGGCAGCACAGGAACCCACATGCACCTGCTCCATCTGCTCCCAGCCAGTGCTGGTGCCACAAAGGCCATCCTGTCCCACTGCTTGTCCTGCCACAAGGGCCATCCTGTCCCACTGCTGGTCCTGCCACAAGGGCCATCCTGTCCCACTGCTGGTCCTGCCTGCCTCCCATCCTGCCCACAGAGAGACAAAACTCATGGAACTGGCTGGCTGGGTGGTAAAGCACCCCAGCAGGATCATTCCCAGGCTGGTCTGTGCCACAGGGGCGCAGGCAGTGACACGGTGACAGGAGGGACCCACACACGGCTGGGCAGCGAGGGCATTACCTGGCTGTGGCCTTGGGCACACAGATGTCCTTCCTCCCTCACAGACGGCAGCAGGGCTTCAGTCCTTGCCCGGGGGCTCTCTGAAGCAGCAAGAGGCCCCTTGGGCTGGCATTGCTCTGATGCCAGTTCTCAGCTCCATCTCACTGCCATGTCCAACAGAGCCATGGGGACACACCACAGCTGCTTTGCTCCCATCAGCACATTGTGGATGATTCAGGGCAGGAACCACCAGGGAATCCAGCAGGGCAGAGCTCCCTCCTCCCCCAGCATCTCCATCCCACCGGGCAGGAGCGACACCCCATCCCCACCCCCTCCCCGGCCAGCTCACACCACGGGTGCTCCCTCAGGCACATTTCCCATTCCAGTCTGCTTTTTCAGAGGCAGGATAAGCTGGCTCCGGCGAGTTCCTTGCAGGATGGGCTTGTCCTGCTTCCTGACAGCTCCTTCCCTCGGCACAAGCCGTTTCCTTCCTGCCCCGCTGCTGGCACCAACACCTCCCGTGCAGCCCTCGCTGGGGCTGCGGCTCTGCCCGCCTCACCTGGGAGCCCGGGGAGCGCCGTGTGACAGGGACAGCGCTGTGTGACAGGGACAGCGCCGTGTGACAGGGACAGCGCTGTGTGACAATGAAAGCGCCGTGTGACAGGGACAGCGCTGTGTGACAGGGACAGCGCTGTCGCCGCTCCAGGCCTCCCCGGGAGGAGTGGCAGCGGGCTGCCTGCCCCGGCCCGGCTCTCCTTACACCGGGAAAACAAGCAGGCGCCGGCTGGTCGAGCACAAGTGTGTGTGCGCCAGGGCTGTGGGCAGGGGAGGCCAAGCTGAAGTGTCCCAGCAGGGCGGGCTGTCCCCTGGCACCCAGCTGGGTGGGATGCCACCCTGCCAACACAAACCTGGCAAGCTGGGCAGGGAGTGGGGTGTCCTGTGGGACCCTGCAGGGAGGCAGCACCGGCTTCTCCTGCAGCAGAGCCAGCTTTGTGCAAGCCCATTGCAAAACTGCTTCTGACAGAGCAGGGCGAGCCACCTCCACAGCACTGCCCAGCCCTCTCCAGAGCCACTGGAGCCCTCTCCAGAGCCAGTGGCACTGCAGGAGAGCATTGCCCAGCCCTCTCCAGACCTACTGCCCCTGCAGGAGTGGGTGCCAGCCCTTCTCTGGCAGTATTTAAGGAAAAACCCAACCCCGTGAGGCTGGTGGGACTCGATCCCTGGGACTCTCCTGTGTGATGAGCACAGCCTCAGCAGGGCCTGGAGCAGCACCTGATGATGGTTCTGCGCTCTGGCTCCAAACAGGACGTGGTGAAAGCCTCGGGAAGAGGGAGGTGAATGGGAGGCGGAACATCCAGGCAGAAGGCATCACCCACCCTGGAATGGGGCTATTTCCACCCTACATCTCACCCTGAGCTTGCTGGCTCCTGCAAAGCCTTTTGCTGCTTTGCCTTTTCCCAGCTCCTCCAAACATCAACGCTCAGGATATGGGGATGAAAGCTGAAGCCATCAGGGGGCTCCCTGGGAACGCTCCTGACAGGCTCAGAGTTACACAGGGCTTGCTCAGAAAATAAACACAGCTTCCAGCCATGCAAAGCACCACAGCTCAGGCTCTGCCCAATAACAGCAGGTGGGGGTTCCTCCCCCAGCAGCACGTTTGTACAGGAAAGTTACATTTCCTCAATTCAATCTCTTCCATTCTTGCTGTTCTTGGGATTTCTTTCCTGTCTAGATAGGGCCTGGTGACCACAGGCTGGAAAGGAAAACACAGGGAGAAAAACAGCAGCTCAAGAATGTGCTCCCAGGTGCGTCCTAATCACAGAACTTCCTCCCACACAGGGAGGCAGGGCTGCAAGTGGACTTTGCCTGCAGCCCTGCTGTGTGTGCTGTGTGTGCAGCTCCAGCCACTGGAAAAGAGGGAAAAGCCTGTGAAATTAAAGGTTTTCATTCTGCTGAGCTTGCCACCAGCATGAGCACTCCTGAAAAGCCACAGGGATGTCATTGCTTCCTCTTCCTCCTTCCCTCCCCAGCTAATGTGCTTAGGAGGGAGGGAGGGAGGGCTGTGCCTCCTGCTCGGGATAATCCCATCAGGTGCTCCCAGGCAGGGGGAAATGGAGTCAGCTCCAGGGTCTGCGTGGAGCTGCAGGCTCCAGCCCATGCCTGCACCACGAGGCAGAGCAAAAATAAGCAGATAGGATTTGATCTAGGCAGAATAAGTGAAGAGTCAGCTCTTTATTCCCACGAGGGTTATTTATGGCCTTGCAGAGGTCTCCTCTATGGGGGAGGCTTCAGCCCCTCTGAGGCCACAGCACGGATCCTCCTGGATCCATGTTTTTGTGGTTGGAGCTTCTCATCCACCAGTCTCTGTGGTCCTTCCCTCTCCCCTCTGCTGCCCTGCCTTGCTTTGCCACACCAAGATCTCCATTTCTCTCCCAGGGCTGGTGGCTCTGGGCCTTTCGCCCATTTGTCACAAGTCCCTGTAGCCAGCTGAGCCAGCTGGTGCTGACAGCAGCTCAAGGAGAAAGCCAGAGGCTGGTGTGAGGGCACTGAGATGTTCATATTTCTGCCCTGACAGAGGGTCCTGCTCTCTCAGGACCAGCGGAGAATGCAGAGGTGTGCACAGTCCCTGGCCTGGAGTGCATGCAGAGATGGAGGGTTCTGCAGCATCCTGCAGCTCTGGCAGGAAGGACAGATGTGCCCAGGCCAGCCCAGCCCCACACAGGGCCACCCACACCCTGGAGTGACAGCACTCCTTGCCCAAAGCATCCCACAGAGCACCCCAGCCTCCTGCCTGCAGCGAGGAGTAACCAGACATGAGAAAAGTAAGAAAAGCTCAGAAAATTCTGGTGGTTTCTGCTGATTACTCATTTGCACGGATCCAATACTGATCTCCTCCCTGCCTGACTTTGTAGGATTTCTGCTCCAGCCACGTCATCACAACCACCCACCCATGGAGCTGGAACTCCACGTGAGCTCCTCCTCCTCCTCCTCCCCATGGGCACCCCCCACAGCCGGGCACCTCGGGCACCCCCTGCCCACAGCCAGCCCCGGGTGCTGCCGCTCTCCTGAGCAAGGTGAGGCAGTGAGAAGCCAAGGGGAGGCACATCCCCCTGGGAGTCACCTTCTGCTTTGGATCAGACACCTCTGGAGCCCCACCAGCTCCTCCAGGCAAATTCCTGCAGGAGTGGCTGTTCTGGAGTCACAGCAGCAGCTGCTGCCTGCACAGGAGGAGCTGCAGGAGCTGACTTCTCTTGCTTCAGGGAGAAAGGAGGGTGCCAGGGAGGTGAGATACCCCTCAAGTGCTGAGCCAGTCCCTGAACAGCTTCCCCACCCCTTTGCCCACTGGTGCACCCAGGAATGGCTGTGCCATGACAGGGCTCGTGTCTCTGCCACAGGCAGGTGTACCAGGTGCCCCTTGGGAGAGCCACTGGGTGCTGTTTCACTGCTGAGGGCACAAACCCAGCCCAGGGGGCTCAGCTGGGGC